AAATCTTAGAGGCGGCGGGCGACCGAGCGAGAGGGCGGACGGCGCTTAAGCCCCAGGGGCAGCTTGCAGCGCGGCCGGGGCTTACGGTCGCCGCCCCCGCCGTCGCCGTCGCCGCCGACGCCGTGGCCGGGCTGCCCTGCGGCCTCGCCACTCGGCATGCAAAGGAGCGCCCGGAGCAGAGCCTCTCCTCACCTCGCCTCGCCTTGCCACGCCCCCGTCGCCCTATCTCCCACCTCACGACCGCGCTGCCAAAGGCCACCCATTGTTTAACGTGTAGCTCTTCGGCTTATCATAAACAGCCCACAAGGTCAAAAGATAGCGTGGGATTCCTGACCGCGTACTACTTGAGGAAAAGACGTGGCTTTTCACCACAGCTATCGACACAAATGAGGAGTCAACATCGGCAGACATTCCGAAGGTGACAGGGGCAGGCATGAGATAATATGTTTCATCAACATCACTGATAAGAATGCTACCGCTTCTACAACTTATTTCGGAATACTTAAAGATAATAAAAAATGAACTTTCTATTATCAATAAAATATTAATGCCAATTTAAATATTTTTTACACCGCAATGTGAATCCCTGATTTCAGGTATGATCCCACTTAGAAGATGCATTATTTATTCATACCATATTCATAAATAATCGATTCTGGTTACAGTTAAATCGAGATCAAACATTGTTAGATAGTTATATTTGATAATGCCAAAAAACACATTCTATACTGGTTTCAGTTTTTCAAAAGAAATGTCCAAACTCAGGAACTAAACTTAAATTTCTAAATTTTGCCTAGAATACACATCTGTAAAAACTGCTTGCTGGGTAGAAATTTGATTTTTTTTTTTTCAAAACTCTCCGGACACCGTACTTCCTTCACAGATAATTCAACATTGTCCACATAAAAGTCTTCACACACTGAATCCCTATTGCGCAGGAAACCTTTTTCATTTACATTAACATAAAATATTTTATCTGGGAATATTATTTCTATGTCATTATTAACGAAGTTTAAGATCACAATAATGTGAACGATGTTCGTGAGTTAAAAAGTAATGTGGATCGAAGTTCCAAAGTTCACATCTACAGTCGACTGAAGTATACAAATTAATAATAAAATCACCATTTCTGTGCAACACTTATGGACATAATACTTAAGATAAAAACATTCCAGTTGAAGTATCTTCATCCCAAATTTCAAATTTAGAAGTGTCACTATTATGATGAATTCTTAGATGTGTTCTGCTGGAGCGCTTCCCCCAATTACTGTCGACTTTTATGTGGTTTGGAATTTAGGTCACTTCTGCAACAACTTGCGCACTCATGACAGACGCATTCAATCCAATGGCGAAGGATATTTCTTGTCCGCTGATTCATATTTCCTCGCACTATCGCCTCGACTCCTGCTGGTAATACGCTAACGACTTTAACAAATGTCATCGCATAGCAACGGATCCATTGTCCCCCAACGCATTATAACTTCTGTCTGAATAACTAAACTTAATGTCTCAGAGAAAAGCACACAAGACTAGAGGAATATTACTGTTAACATGAAGTTATTTTCACAAAATTTATTTTTGACATATTTAGGGGGAACTTTTATTTTTTGGTTGACTCGAAAAATTAATACGTCGAAAATATTTTCTTTTCACTTAAAATCCTTAACTTCATTCCCTAGTATAAAATATAAAATATTTTTAAATGTTGAACCATCGTGATTTTCAGACATTTTTAAATTGAATATTGCAGAACATATTTTTAATAAGTTGCTGCATTTAAAACTCCGTAATTAGGAACAATTTCAAGTATCTTTTCGAAATCATGATTCCTCAAGAGCGCCATCATAATCTCGAGTTGGAACTTTATCCGCATTGCCCAAGTTATCACACATAATGTACAAAATAAAACAATAAAAAACCTTCATTAAGGAGAGTCACAGATGAAAGAAATTACATACATTCGTCACATCCTACCACATTTGCAACGAAGGCGAAGCTAAGAAAACGAGCTACGCCGCCCTGTCCGTGCTGCCGCTGGCACGCGACCGTCGCCACGAGCAGCCAGGCCCAGCCCGAGGGGCATTCCTCGCTGATTATTGGGAACGGGGCGCGTGGCGGCGGTGGCTGCCGCCGGGGTAGCCGCAGAGTGGCGGGCGCGCGCCGCATACGAAAGCCGGCACCAGATCGTGCTCTCGCGCGTGAGCGCGCCTCGTGTTGACACATGCCGCGGCGCCGAACGCCGCCGATCCGGCCGGGCCGCGGCGCAGGCGTCGCGCTGGCGCCGCGGCGCAGCACGGCGCGGCGCGCTCAGGATTTGTGGGCGCGACGTGTGCCGCCGCCGCCGCCGCGTGGCCCACATGCCGCACGACCGCTCCGCCGCGCCGCGCCGCGCCCGGAGCGTGCACCCTCCACAACAGGCTCAGCTGGGCCCATTGCCCGCCCGCCCGCTGGCTGGCCCGCTCGGGGAATGGGTAATGGGTTGCGGCAACGGCCCCGCGCACGAAACCCTGATAGCTGCAGATCACGTGATGTTAAGGGGCGAGTCTTAAACCGTCAGCGTTCATCACGGGCAATTAACTTGAAATTCGCCGGTAATGGAGGACAGGCACTGAAATTCGCCGGTTGGGCCACTACTCGTAACTTGGGCATAAACATTCGCATTACAGTGGATTACAAACTCAATATCTTCTTGCCATTCAAGGCCCAAAAAACATTTCGCCTTACGCATAATCCACGGATTAATTCATGACTGCATTACACTACATCCCTTATGTTGGTCTGTATTTTCTCCATTCTTTTTTGTTCTCCAACATTTAACAGCCCATATTTCATAAAATGGCGTAATAGGGACGCCAAGTATTTTGAAGATAGACTCAAGACATAATTCAAAATTTAGATAATTTTTATCGTCAATATTAATTTCAAATGAAATTTACTTTTAGCAGTTACCTGATTTGTGTATATCCATACATAATCAATACACATTCCATAACATGATTCTACAAACAGGAATTTACGAACGTTATGCAAGAGGTCGTTCCAATAGAAGTATAAGATTTGACAGAATGCTCCTACACATGAGGTAAACTATGCAAATTCTAGAAAGACAACAAGAAGAAAAAACCTTGGTCTTCCCTCGAAACGCACAGTCACTGTGAAGCAACTTCCCAAAGGGCTGGGGGGCGCAAGAACGCAGCGGTGCTGGGCGAGAGGCCATTCGGCGCTCGGGCGCAGGGCTGCTGCGGTTTCGAGGCGGCCGCACCGGCGCGGCGCACGGCAGCGGTGTCTGTCTCGCCGGCGGAGGCTGTGCCTGCGGTACAGGGGAGCTCCGCGGTGGCTGCGGCGAGAGCGGGCCGGGTCGGGCTGGGCCGGGGCACGGCAGAGCAGGACAGAACGGGACGGAACGGGACGGGGCCGCGCGCCGCCCCTCGCAGACGCGACCGCATTTGCATTCATTTCCTCCGCTCCCTATTGATGTAGTGCGGGTTGCGGCAGCGGCGACGCAGGAGCGGGCGCGCGCAGCTGTCGCCGCAACCGCCGCCGCCGCTGCCGTGCGCCAAGCTCCGCACACAGGTCCCGGCGTTCCCCTTCGTCAGGCACGTCGCCACGACTCCCTCTCCGCTACGGTCCACCACGTTCAAGAAGACACAGGCTAAATTTACGAGCACTGCGTTCAAATTACCCTGGTTTCTTTCATTGACAATTGTAGCAAACACTTTCCAGTTACTCGTACATTCAATCCACTACCAAATTTTTAATACATTCACGCATCATAAAATTGAAGGGAAATGTTTAATTCAAGGCTCTAACCTCCGAAATGACAGGTGGCAATCACGTGTTTTAATAATATTGAATTAATAATTATTATTAATATAATTACTAATATAATTATTAATATAATTTAATCTACCTGCAATTACATGCAAAAATAAAACTTCGTTTTTAAGTACATTTCACCATTCAAGACCCAAATTCGTAATCTCTTTATGTGGTACTATGAAAGTAAAATATTACCGAGACTCCCCTCCCATATGTAAAAATACGGTTGCAAAATTACTCACTGGAGTGACTAGAGGGTCGGTGGTTTCTAGTTGAATCTGTAACTGGCCGATTGTCGTTGGTGCTCGTAATCGGTTCCCACACATGCCACGCCCAATGTAAACGCAATATTTGGGTATACGTACTAGAATATTACATTTGCGATGTACACAGCGCTTTATTTGTACGTACACATATTATTTGTATGTTTAAACCCACAATACAACAAATATAAATTAATTTATTGATAAGTTGCGATATGTACAAAATAAGGCAACAACACACTTCGCAGTTACTGCCGCGCCATCACGTAGATACCACAAAATTATGTTTTACATTATGTAAATGAGGGTCGAACATTTGCTCTGCAAGTTAATTTAGGGAACCTTTATAGATATTCTAACACGCAAAATGACGCTGCGAAAGAAAAGCAAAAAAACGCAAACGCTTCCTGGACACACATACAACTCCTTGGAATAAACTAGTCACGCTTCACCTACATAAGTACTATTTAAATAATTATGCCGCAAATTACGGTGAAACTTTACTAAAACTGTGTGTACCGAAAAGTAAAAGATGCGTACTGTAGAAATCAATAGGGTTCTCGAGAAGTGTATTTCACAGTCACCCCTTTTCAATTTTCGTTTCACCGCCTACATACCATGAACATTGGACTACTTAGCTCAGAAGCAACCAAGTTCATATTAAAGTTTATTTTTGGGGGACCACTAATCACTAATTTAGCCCGAAACCAGGCGACGGACGGAGACGGTAGAGGCGCACGACCCAACGGCAAGAGCCGGAGCGGAGCGGAGGCAGCCGTACGTGCAGCACAAAGCACGCCGGGTCTCGCCGAGGGGCGTCCGCCTCCAAGATGCACCGCGGCGCGGGGCGGCGGCCGGCCAGCCGTGCGGACGGCGTCCGCCGCGCGCTGAGGGGAGGGGGAGGGGGAGCTGGCGGAGGCGTGTTTGCTAACAGGTGGCCGGGCGGGCGGCGGCAGAGGCGGAGCGATGGCGGCGGCGGCGGCGGCGGGCGTCGCTTGCTTGCTCGCCAGTAAGCCGCCTGTCCTCGGGTTAATTAGCCGCGGCGGGCGGGCCGAGACACGTGTTTGCGCGCCGCC